ATTATAACACCTCAAACATTTCAGGTCTTTTGGAGTTGTCTGGAATAAGGTTTTTCCTAGTTCACATAGTCCTACCATTACTCGAATGTTGAGTTAAATTGTTGGTTACCATTACTTGAAAGTGACAGTGCAAAAAAAAAGGGATTTTTTACTCTTTTTTTAACAGCTTTTAACAAGTTTATTATCTTTGAATTCCATTTAGCATGATAAAAGTACTCTTTTTTAATGAACATTCTGTTTACTCCTTTAATATAATCAGTTTTATCTACTGTAATTAGGAATTTCTTAATAAGTTTCTGTAAGAATTCTTAAAAGTCAGTTGATATAATTTTGAATGTTTTCAATTCCTTCCAATTAAAAAGGTTAGGGGATGTTTTTAATTTTTTTTAATTTATTTTTAAAGTGTTACTATTTTCACTTGTATTAATTTTTCAAAACCCTTCAGGAAACAAAAATTCACTAGAACTGGGGTCATGTTTTGAATTCATGACAGACAAGCTTCAACATGTTTTTCTTCTTAAGCTGTTATCTGACTGTGAAAGATCACTTCTTAGATCACCAGCTCCTAGAGGCTTTGAAGACTGGTTTTGGGTTGTTTGGTTTTTTTCTTTGCTTTTTTTTTTTGGTTTTGGTTTTTTTTTGTTGTTGTTTTTTTTTGGGGGGGGGTTGGGTTTTTTTTGTTTTTTTCTCTTGCTTTCTGAAGATGGTAGAGTTATCTTAAAAAGGCATTTGTACTAGTGGCAGTAGTACGGAAGACATTGCTTTAGAAAAGTCATTGATTCTTAAACATGCTAAATATTTTTTCACTACTGACAGTAATCATATATCTCTTTTACTAGAAATTTTATGATATGCACACACTGATTTCATATAAGCTACATATTCTTAAAAGTCTCATTAAGAAACAAAATTAAGCAAAAAATAATTTTATAGAGTGTATTCGACTGTACTAAAGCAAAATAATTACATTGGTAATGTTAATTGACATTGAAATGACAGGACTGAAAAAGAATAAACAAAGTTGTAGAACAGTATTACTGCTAAAGTTTCAGTTATTAAAAAGAATGCAGAAAAGTCCCTGAAAGTAACTTCAAAATGCCACAAGTGTTGTAAATAGAGACTAGATTAGACTCAGAAGGACATTCTGTGAACTTAACTTTCCGTGATAGTACAACTTCAAACCATTTTTCATGGCAAAAACAGTAAAGAAAAAGTGTGATTTTAAAGAATGTCATAGTACTTAAGTAGAATATTATTTGTGAATAAAATGAAGGGTTTGCCAAAAAAAAATATCCTTTACATCACAGAATCACAAAATGGTGAGGATGTGAAGATATCTCTGGAGATCATCTAGGCACCCTTTGCATAAGCAGGTTCACTTGGAGCAGTCCTCAATCCAACTCACTGTCCACTCACCTAACTCATGCTTCTTGACCTTACCTATGAGGATGTTATGGGAGACGGTGTCAAAAGCCCTTCACAAGTCAAGGTTGAAGACATCTGCTACTCTCCCCAGATATCTATCTCCTTCAGATATCTGAGCTGCTGACACTTTATTTGCAGTAAGTTCAGAGAAGAAAGCAGTTCTAAGACTTTGGCCACTTCTTAATTAATTACTTAAAATTAATCATATTAATTTTACCTACCTCTGCTATGAGGACAGGATACATCACATATAGAGAGATGTCCAAGTTGTGTAAGTTCCCAGTCTACTTTATGAGATGAGCTCCCAAGTAGACTTCACCTCCCAAGTTCTCAAGAGGTGACACTGTTGCCTCATGTAGAAAGTATTCGTGTCATCAATTCAAGCTTGTGGATAGAGTTAGCATCATTATATATTTGAGTAAAAATATTTTTAAACAGGATCATTTAAAAAAAGGTTTTAAAATTATAATCACATGTAATATAAATGACCAGATATTCTGTCAGAACTAAAACACTCTGAGAATTTATTTTCCATTTCATTCTCATCCTTTCTTATTTAAACTTTGAGCAGCTAGTGTATTACTTCCATTATTTAACAAATATTTAACAAACTATTTAACAACCAATTTGTATTCATTCTGGTTGAAAATCACTTTTGAAGACAGGAAGAGTAATCTTCTTACTTTAATTTAATATCTTAGGCCTAGATTCTGAATTCTCCTAGATTCTGGAAAGTGATCCAGTCTACCCAAGTCAGATATGAGCCTTAACCACAAGTATATGAAATACCAAGGAATGTTATTTACTTCAGTCTAAGGTAGAAGTAACTGAGGTAAAACAAAGCAGTGGTTTCAGACAATGCAAATGTGACACTATGTTTCCAGAAGTGTCTGATCCACCAAGACACATTAAACTCTTGCACAGGTCTCTCCACTGTTTCGTCTCATCAGTCTGGGAAAACATGCGGCTGAGAATAGGAGAAGAGGAAGAGTAGGCTGAAATTTGGGGCAGAAAAGATAAGAAACACTCCTCAGCAGAGAATTGTTGGTTACCTTTTCTACAATGTTCAGCACAGGTGATGATGACCCCAGTTTCACTCCTCTGAACTCCTGTAACCATCACACA